AAGATTTTAAGACAATGTATGGAGAAATGGAGCGTACAACGAGAGATAAAAGTGGCCACTTCGGGAAGTAAGTAAACCTACTTCTAATTAGCTATTTTTAACCCAGATGCGAAGGTTGCACAGCACTTAACATGTTTCGAGTCGTGCACCGAACACCCGTGAGCTCATAATCGATATATTTGAAAAAGTTTCCTTTTCTCCATACATTTTCTTATACGAATTCGCAGCCATTGTGGCCTTGGTGCGCACGCGCAACCGCCATCTTGTCCCTAATTTCTGGCAATGAGGTGTGTGCATATATTAACAGTTGGCTTTAGTCATACCTTGATTTGCACTAGCAATGCAGTTTAGCCAAGCTCCCCAGAAGAGGCAGGTCAAGAAGAGTGCTTGAACGGACAAGAAACAACCAGCCATACCGGATGAATTTGCCAGAATGCTACCCTTCTCGACTTTTGTCTTAATTTAAAGCTGAGATGTCACGAACTGGTAGCCCACTGAGTTCAGTTTGACACGTTCTGATATCAGTTGTCGTGTTAATTAATTTTCCAAGTTAACAACAACAGCCACCAGCCACTATTTGCATTAAATTTCTTAACATCTGCCAAAACGACCGTGCGTTTTGAAGCTTTCTTGTTAAATATCTCGCGAAAAAACTGAGAATTAAAATATATTATTATAAAAAAAATTATCATGTTTTAAGTTTTTGTCACTGTACTTGGATTGTGCGTCTTGTTTAGTTGGAGTTTGAGCAGCATTATAATATGAGCAGACTCAATTAATTTCAAAGTAACATTTTACCTAACTTCAATTTAGTGGATATTTTAAGTTTGGCATATTTTTAATAATATTTAAGAGCCGAATATCATTGCGATTGAAACTTTATCTTAGCTGCCAATTTTTGTTTCACTGTTTAATACTTAATAATCTTTTGGAATAAAGCCGTTTTTTACTTTAAAACGTTTAGTGAGTTCTCTCCTTCAAAAAAAAGGTTTTTCGGCGTAACACATGCACTTGTTGGGTGCCTTTTATTAAATTTGAAATGACAAGAATATTGCGCAATTCAAGGATCTGCCCTGATATTACATGTACGTATCCTGGTAGCGCGCGCGCGCGTCTATATAGGAAAGTACTTACAGTTACAACATGCAGTTAGTATACCAGAAAAAATCTCGATATTGCTTAAACAGGGGCAACGAGGAATCGATGTATGATTACTATACCCTGCGAGCAGAGGCTACATCAATTTTTTTTACAGTTAAAGTTAGTGTGTAGCAGTACTTGTCGCTCCGCAGTTCACACCGCGAAAATGTAGACTCTGCTCGTAGGGTAGACGATTACAGAAATTTCCCGAAATTTTGTCCTGAAACTAGACTAGAATGCAAATGAAAAAAATTCTCGAAACGTCGAGCTGAGTGTGTTTATATTTGTTTTGATCAACGCTAAGTAATGATCAACCTGACTCAGTGCTTGGAATCTTGCGTTCCCTGCTTTTATTTCACCTGTTGTATATGTTTTATGTGTGAAAACGTTCAATATGAATCGGTGTGTTTCAAAGAGCTTACACAAAGACTGAGGCTACAATATGACCGACAAAATACAGAGCGGGGGCAGCTGTAGTGTCAACTATTACTAAACGGTTGTATTCCCCGTTAGGACGAGTTCTTTTAAATTATTTTGGTTTTTTTATTTTTTTCTAAAAGAGAATATCTCTTAACTGTTGCATGAATATCGAGATCAAACTTAATCGTCGCGAAAGACAGCTGTTAACCAAACGTTAATAAATGCTTAAATGAAAGCAACTGGCAAGTTTTGTGAACTCACAAATGTCTTGGTCAAATTCAGTCGACAATTAAACAGAACGTTTTAATAAAAGGTTTGTTTGACAAGTTTTAGGGAAGTTTGCCATTTAAACTTTCTAGCAATATTAACGGCAGTTTTGAGAAAATATATTGAAGCAATTAGCGAATTTTATTTCGGTTTATGACCGCCCCTGTTCATTTAGAGACGAAAAATGTTTTCATGCAGAAGGTCCCTTTTATGATAGCTGCCGTAATATTAACGGTTTTTGAATAAAACAAGCCCCCTCTTTAAATTATTAAAAATGAAAACTGTGCATGGCAAACAGCTGGCCGACTCTGCAGCGCACGTTAAAAATCGATTTAGTTGAATGTTGGAAAGTATTTAATCTTCTCTTCGTAGATAGATTTCCAGGGTGTATATCTATTATTTTGTTTTTCCTTCTTTCCTCTGTATATGGTAATGTGTTTTTCGCCCTATGAAAGAGAACCCTGATTCCTGAATCCAGGAAATTTTGGCCTGTGAAATCCGGCATCCTGGGCTTTGGAATCGGGAATGCACCTCAAGGAATCCGGGATCCCAAGAACGATTGGAATCTAGAAGCCAAGTTCCACTGACAAACACTGGTTTTTCACACATAAAAACGATGATTTTGAAACGGTTTCTATAATGACAGAGTGAAGCCGGGTCGCGCGATCTTGCCGAAGGTTGATCGTCATATATCGGATAGATCTTTGTGCCATTCTTCGTGGTAGTGTAAGCAGGTGTTTAGAGCACGATAAACCAATCCGGTGCAGTGTGATAACAGCGTAAGACTAACAGTTGCCCGCTGTTATGTTTAATTGTCTTTTAGCTTAAAAACAATAGAGACCTTCAGATTCTACGGCTATAGTCAAATTGTACCGAGTTGCTTTTTTCTCGGCCACGAAAATCATACCGAATAGGGCCTCTGTTCATACACTACCACGGTGATTTCGGCGCGATTTCTGTGACGAAGGGAAGCTACGCTGCGCCGATCTCGAAAACGGACCTTCACAAATCGGATAGGTTTTTAGCCATACTTAAATGTAGCATGACCACCTATCAGATCAAATAAGTAGGAGCGAGAACTGGAACCCAGTGAGGCGGAAGTAAATATTCAGGACTGAGGACTGAAATTAAGTGCACCAAACCTATTCGGCCAACAGCACCAACACGACGTTTGATGTTTGCGAACGACTTGTTGCCGCCCCGGACCGTTGCTGTTCATATTGTACTGAATAGCTTTTCGTGGGACCGCGAACAGCTATTCGGTATACGCCACAGAACTGAGACGACTTCGAACAGACGGAGATTTTCTCAATACTAAGCAGTGACTATTATTTAAAGTAGTGCCCTTGAACCGGAGGCATTGTGGCGGGAAAATGTGATAGCCGTCGTCATTCTTCAGTTTAGCTTGAATAATCGTAGTGCAGGGAACAATTATCAAATTTTAGAAGTTTTATCATTGCGCTTAACCTCCTTCAATAAAGACGAAAATGTGCTAGCGTTTTTTGTAAAAAAGAGGTACAATAAAGCCTTTCCATGATGTCTATTTTTTGAGAATACGCGAAAAACCGTAAGTCAAAGTTCGTCCTCGGATCTATAAATGGTCTCTAATAAAAAAAATTCCACGGGCCAATGTAACGTAATACGCGTATGCCGCGATTAGTACACCCACCTCGGGCCGCGAGATAAATACCTAAGGCAAGTGGATAAGCAAGGGCGGGAAACTTTTATCTGATTCGTTCCTGGAAAATCGCTCTTGACTAGTACTAGCACATTTGCATGCCCATCACACATTGCAAACGAGACAGCTTCACGCGAAATAGGATGAGATTAGCCAGCGCGCCCAACCAAAACCGCCATGCTACGCTAGCTAGGATGAGATGGTCAGATCTCTCTTGGCAGACGTCATTCTTCGCGTGTTCCAATCGCATGTTTAGCTTCGAATTGTTTCCAATGTCAAGAGCTAAGCTAAATTCCGTACTTGACGTTTTATCTTAGTTCCGATAGGAAAAAAGACTTCCAAGGGTTCTTTAGTTATTGTTCTGGGTAAAAACTAAAAGGACCCGCACCTTAGTTGTCGGGGGTCAATAGTCTATACCACTTGAGAGTTTTAAGATACCACGACAGCGACTGCCGCGAAAACGTCAATCTTCTACTAAGTAAATTCGTGTTCTTTCAAACTACGTCGCGATTGTTTCAGCTCGCTCTGTATGTCAAAAGCGGCTCTCTTTAATTGGTTATTGAACTACAACAAAGGATCTTTTTCTTATGAAAATGCGTATATCTGTTTTTTTTTTTGTTTTCTGTCTCACTGTCAAACGATGACAGAGTTGAACGTTCACAGGTTAGTTTCAAACAAAACTGTGATTATTCCGTGTAGGTCATGGCAGCCTCCAACGCAGGCGTTTTTAGGGGAGCTCGTATTTCGTCTACCAGGGTTCCAAGGCGGATTAGGAATATAACTAGCGAGGAACTAATAGGATACAATAGCCTGACCACTTCTGAAAAACCTGGGTCTTCATCAAAGGAAACAGTAGTTCAACAACTGTCATCCCTGAGTCAAATTTGTAGTGATCCTGTTGTAGGAGTCTTGATATTAAAAAAATTGCTTTTTGCTCACTTCTTGGAGTACCTCTCAATTACACATATTGGTTTTGAAAGGCGGTATTGTTATGACAGTCCAGTCTAGTGATATTTAATCTTGAAAAACTGTTAGCTGTTAGCCAGAGCAGTTTTTGAAGCCTTCTTGTACTTCAATCTTTTATTTGCCGCCGGCCTATGCATGCCTTCTTTGGTGCTGGCTGTATTATTTTCCCCTGAGTGCTACTGTTATAAACAGTAATAATAATTATTTTTGGACAAAGTTTGGTGATATCCGGAATAATCAAGTTCAAGCTAAGTGTTATCAGCTGAACCGAAGGCCGATGCTGATAACACTTACTGAGACCTTGATTATTCCGGATATCACTAAAACCGAATCTAAAAATTGTTTTGAAGAAAGTAACGACGAACACACTGTCGCAAAGAACCTGAATTGATGTTGTTATTGGAAATTATGGATTGCACGCGAAACCTACAGATTAGTCAGTTATGTGCTAGCAGATAACTAGCTGATCTGTAGGTTGCCCTGGTTTCCAAAATTAGCTGTAGGCTCTTAACCAATCAGAGGACAGATAGTGAGTACAATGTAAAATGGAAGCAGTTATCAGTACGTCCCAAGCCCAGTTTGGTGACCAGTGTCTGTTCATACATGTAGGTCCTAGTGGCTGAATTTGGGTAAATTTTCGTGACACGCCTCCCTTTATATTATTTTGACTCATGCATTGTTGCATTTTTTTGGAGTGTACAAAATCATTATGGTGGAGCAATGCGGTCACCCTTCCTCCTGGCTGGGCGGGTCACTCTTGAAGCGAGGCCAACTTTTTGTATCTCACGTACTAAACAGTACACCACATTTTGTAAGGAAATGTCCCTTCTACCCATGACAACTTGTCTCCATATAAATGGGGCCTTGGGAAAGGAGCAGCTGCTTGGGTCTCACCCAGCTGCATCACAACCTTACATCAACTGAACGGAACAACCGTCAGATAGCCTGAGAAAAC